CTAGCCAGCTGCTAACTTAGTCTCAGATTTGGGGATAAAGCTGTCTCTCAACACTGCCTTTTAGAGAAGACTGGGTTCTCATTTATGCAACTTTTCCATGCAAACCATCTGCTGTCTATATAGAATTTCAATTTCTTGTAAAAATATCCAAAAGCAGGTGGGTTTTTTTTTTCCTCTTTAAAAATCCTGTCTTCTACTGGAAAGGCAAAACATTTGACAGAGGAGAGGAGAAAAGCCCTTTCTCCTGAGCAGCCCTCCTCATCATTTTAGGTGTGTCTGATTTCTCATGATGTTATTCTCCCAGGGAAACCTCAGACCTGGAAGGTTTTAGCACAGCAGTTGGTAGAAGGCCAGCACAGCCTGCCAGGAACCTTGTAGACCCTTGGTGGCTGGTATACAAGGGCTCATGGTGGGAGACAGCAAATAAACCATGAGGGGAAAGAACAGCACAAGCTGAAGCAAATGATTCAGGGAGAGGAAAAGGGCAAATCTTATAAATGTAAAAACAAGGGCAGGGAATTGGAGGGATCAGCTTGACTAGGGAAGGAAGCCAGGAGAGTGCAGCTGGTGTTTGTGTTGCAAGTCTGATCCATTGCCTATGAGGGATCTCCTGCACCAAAAGGCTGGTTATTTAAAAGGTGTTCACACAACAAGTGTTGGAGATTCAGTGGTTGGACTTGATGATCTTAAAGGTCTTTTCCAACAGAGTTGATTCTGTGATTCTATTTACATAGTAGCAGCCGAGGTAGAGGGAAATTCTGATTATAGGAAAGGAAAGAATACTGCAGGTGAAGCTGAATGTTGCTGATCACTCGTCCCAGTTATTAACAATGCATAAATCCAGGGATTTTGGAAAAGATAGTGAGAGAATGGCTACTTTTTATGGAGCACCTAGGTTTAGGTGTCTAGTTCATCCAGCTCATTGATAGCTTTCTCTTCAGATGCCTCTTCCGCGAATTGGTGGTATGTTCCCAGCCTCTGCCAGGCACCAGTGGAAGGTGCAAACTGGTTTACTCCTCTTCTGAGGGAACAGGCTGCAATGCAGTTAAACCCTGACCGTTAAATCCATGCACACCTGGCTGTGTGCATGACAGTGAGATGGACAAGAGACTGAAGTGGGCAATAAACAGGCAATAACCAGCACACTGATCAGTTGAATTATGGCAGATTTCAGTGTTGAAGCTATGTTTTATATTTAATTAGGCAAGAAAAGATTATTTATTGCTTAAAAATGTGTACCATATGCTATGCAGCTTCACTGAGCTGCTCCTGAAGTCTGCTGCAGTTTTCCTTTAAACTTTTAGGTGTGGTTTTTAAAAGCATTTTGCTGTTGGTTTAGCTAGAATACTAATCTTACTAGGATATCTTTCTTAAAATGCCAAATGTAAGGTAAAGGGACACTGTCAAGTATCTTAGGCCAAAATAGGACATATCTCTGCTCAAAAGTATTTGAAATGTCTCCATCCAAAGTTCTTTGACAGATTTGCCCTTGATTTCCTCTCTGCATCCCAGTTCTTAATATTTTTCAGCCTCTGCCAAGTATTTTTAATTGTTTTAAGTATATTTTAAGTATTATTAAGTATTTTTAAGGTTATTAGCTCTTAAAGTAGTTGCCTCCATCCAGTAAGCCAGCTGTTTTGCTGCAAACCTTTCATGTAATCAGTCTTGAGGCTGGCTGAAGCAGATGAGGAGGAGGGGAATAAAAACACTGGATTGTTTTTATTTAGCATTTGTGTCTGTATGGTACCTTTTCTTCAGGTTTTCCTGCCTCATGAGAATAGTTTTCTGGGGTTTTTTTGCTTTCTGAAAGAGGACACTAAGAGCAGGAGCCAGAACCTGTACTTTAAAGATGACAAGTTTGCTTTTAACCAAGGAGAGTATTTAAGAAGGAGAAAAGTTTCAAAAGATGAAATACTCAGGCTGGTAAGGTAGCACAAGTGGGCTGGAGTGCAACTGTTCAAGAACAGGAATCCCATCATGTCAGCTAGGAGAGGAGCCTTTTCCACCTTAGAGGATGTGCAGAGCAAATGGTAAAGAACTTTTAAAGTCGATCATGAAATAGGATGTCACATTCATGTGACAAAGAGAGTTTGGGGTCAGCAGAAGCAATTGGGGTTTTTCCTGGGTGCTGGAGCAATGGAGGGTAATATTTGTTGTTATGCAGAGGTTTATGTGAAGGAAAGAATGCAGTTGCTTTAAGAAATGACAGTGTTCCTTTACTCAACGTTACTCCATGTTGCTTTGTGACAAACCACAGACATGTATTGCACCAGAATGTACCGCGTTACAAGACAGCAAAGCTATAAAAGCCTGACTTTGCTCCTTACTGAAAATGGAAATTGCACTATAGTTTTAGTTGTGCTCAGTCACTGAGACTGTAACTTGTTCAGAAGCATCTTTTGGTCTTAACTGCCAAAGAATTGCAAACCCTTTTCAGATCAAACTTCATGCTTCAGATAGGGGAAAGAGAGATTTATGTGTCCCAGCATCTGTACAGTTACAGAGATGTAGACGGTTGTGTACTGGGATGTTTCTTGATGCTTTTTTCCTCCTTTTTTAACCTCAGGAATTAAATAAAACTCTCTATCACTGAGCATGTGTGTCCCTTTTCTGTCTTGTAGAGAGAGCTTTGCCTGGAGGATCCATCAGGTGATTGTATGATTATTTCTGAGCAGGAGAGAATTTGTACAAGATAAGAAAAGAGAAACCAGTTTGTGATGCTGGTGGAGATGGGCCATGTCTGTACAGCACCACAGAGCAACAGCAGGCCCTTAAATCAGTGCTGCGGGAGCATCCCAAGCTAGAGGAAATACCACTGTGTGCTGCTGGCTCAGACCCACCAGCAAAGAAGTTCTTCCCTGTGAGGGTGCTGAGGTGCTGGCACAGAGTGCCCACAGAAGCTGTGGCTGCCCCATCCCTGGCAGTGTTCAAGGCCGGGTTGGACACAGGGGCTTGGAGCAATCTGGTCTAGTGTGAGGTGTCCCTGCCCATGGCAGGGGGTTGGAACTGGATGATCTTGAGGTCCTTTCCAACCCAAACCAGTCTGTGAGTGTATGGTTCTATGGGGACGAGGAGTCAAAGTGAAGGGTCTCTGGGTGATTATACAATGTTTAGGGCATAGAAAAGCTCAGCTGTTGTTCCTTCTCCTTCAGAAAAGGGACAGCAGAGGAGGCTGCAGCCCAAAATTGGGAACATCTGGGCAAAAATGGCTTTAAAGAGAAGGGTGGGGAGCTGTGGAAGGTACAAGACTTCTCCAGTGTTCCATCAACTGCTTGGTGGCCATCCTGCTGGAGCTGTGGGTAAGGCACAGTGTCCCATGGGCCGAGGATACCCCTCAGGTATTTGAAAGGCCACGATACCCCTTGCCTTTGGGGAAACCTCCCCTCCTCCAGCGAGAGAGCATCAGCTGAAGTCTGGGGACACCCTTGGGAGGCAAAGATGGATTTTGGTGGCATAAATCCAGCTAAAACGTCAGGGCAGGGGGACAGAGCAGCCCCAGGACCACAGGCAGCCCCGGTGGGAGAGTCCCCAGAAGGGAAAACCCACCCTGGGGGTGCTGGAACACTGACTCAGAGCAGGATGTGCGTGACCCTGTCACAACCTGACACCCAAAGCGCTGAAAGTTCACAGCTGTGTCACCACCCTCAGCAGTTTCACTCGCAGATCAAGCGTGGAGGTTTCCCACCGTGGTTTGTAGAACAAAGATGCTTTTACCTTGCCTGAGAAGGCCCCAGAATTCAAGTTCTTGGGGCTGGTGAGAGGCTATGCAGGGATGAGGAGCTCAAGGCTGCAGGGCAGGACCACAGGTCAACAGCTCTTTGTGTGCTTGTATGACTTAAGGGCTCTTCTGGGGCTAGGAGGACCCTCTGGGTAGGAGCATCCTTGTCCACAGCCCTGGGAAGGGGTGGTGGGGCTCAGCTGCCACAGGGAAGCATCTTCCTTCCTCCCCTGGCCTCAGAAACCTGCCCTCCCTCCTGAAACTGCACCCACCCCTTGCCTCAGGAGCCCAAACCTGCTCCGGGGTCCTCATCTGCAGCTTCACAGCCCAAGGATGAAGTAAACCCTGTTAGCAAACAGGGAAGGGCAAGTCCTGTTATTGGAAACAGGATCCCAGCCTGGGAAGAACCTGTCGGAAGAAGCAACCAGTTCATCTTCTCAGCATATGTGACAGCGCCTTTATTTGACAGAATTTCAGCTTCTCTTTGCACTGAGCTCAACACAAATTGCAATCCCCCACCCCCCGCCGAATCCTTCTTATAAATGTAGTAAAAACTCACATCCATCTTTCACCATTGTTTTTTCCCTAAGGAAAAGGTACAAAAGTTTACAAAATCTTAATAAACACACATGAAACTAGAACCCCATCTGTCAGCTGGAAAAGCAGCACCAAACGCTGCAGAAACTCGTGTTCATCAACATGTTTTAATGATCAATGCCCAATGAAAACACCTTCTACCTGCAAGAAATAATAATGACAAAGAAACAGTGACTAATAATGCAAGAAATGATGACCAGGAAAAAACCTGTTTCAATGTGGCTGTTTAAAACAAAGCCTCTGAGCACTACAACTTGCAGTTGAAGACGGGAAGGTGCAGGAGAGGTGGGGAATGGCCACGGGCACCAAGCCTGGCACACAAAAGGTTTCCCTTCCTTTCAAGCCAGCAATCCCCAGTTGGATCCCATACAGCAAGGATGGGCCATGCAAGCAGCCCCCAGCCTTCCCCACTCCTCTAGGATATTCTTTGGGATATACAGACAGTTTCCAAACAGTTTGGTGCTCCTCTGGACAGCAAGGATGGGCCATGCAAGCGGCCCCCAGCCCTCCCCACTCCTCTAGGATATTCTTTGGGATATACAGACAGTTTCCAAACAGTTTGGTGCTCCTCTGGTGCAGGGCAGGGACAAACACTAACAGAAAGACTTGGCAAGGAGGGGCCATAACAGACTAGGTCAAGTGTAATGGTTGATGACCTTAAAGGTTTTTTCCAACTTGCTTGGTTCTATGACTCTGTGATTAAGTGTGTGTTGAGGGTGAGGGAGCTCCTCACTCGCCGCCTCCCCAGCATGGCGAAGGACCAGTCTGAGCTGTGCTCATGGCTGTTGCAGGCAGAGGAGCACTGGTCTTGGCTCCTGCTCCAGCAGAAGCTGCTGCCCGGCATTGCCCTGCCCAGCGCTGTCCTGAAGCGCTCGCCAGCGAAGGCGTAGAGAAAGGGGTTGAGGCAGCTGTGGAGGAAGGCGATGCTCTGCGTGAGCTGCAGCGCGATGTCCAGCCGGCCGGCAGCATCACAGCTCTGTGCTTCCCTGGCATAGGTGCTGATGGCTTTGACCAGCAAAACAATGTTGTACGGGAGCTGGGAGAGGAGGAAAGCAGTGATGATCATGGTGATGATCTTCAGTGGCTTCTGCTTGTGGGATCTTTTGGCTTGCAGGAGGGTCTTGATGATGAGGGCGTAACAAATGACCATGACAAGGAGCGGGAGGAAGAATCCGAATGTGACTTTTGAGGCCAGGACAGTAGCTCTGAAGTTCATGCTGATGTTTGGTGGATATGTGACTTTGCAAATTGTTATGTTACCCACCCGCATGCTTTGGCTGTACATGATTTCTGGGATGCACAGGCTCATGGATGTCAGCCAGACAGCCCAACACATCACTTTGCTGCGCAGGAGCCGCCTTCGCTTAGAGGCGTTAGCTTTCGTTGGCTGGACAATAGTGATGTACCTGTCCAAGCTGATGCAGGTTAGAAACAAGCTGCAGCTGCAGAAGTTGATCTTATACATACTGTTGACAACTTTGCACATGAGGTTCTTGAAGATCCAGCCATTGGAGGCAGCCTCGGCCCAGAAGGGGAGGGTGAAGAGGAGAAGCAGGTCTGCAATGGCCAAGTGCAGCAGGTACCAATCCATCGTGCTCCTCCTGAAGTGGTGTTTGCAATATACGAGCACAACCAAGGCATTTCCCACAGTGCCCACAGAGAAGATGAGCCAGAAGAACACAAGCAGGAAGGCTGGAGCAAACTGCCTGACCTGCCTCATGTCACATATGAAGTCCGTGTTGTTCACTGGCATTCCATACAGGGACACCTCGGTGCTGTCATTCCTGTAGTATTCCAGGTTGGTCTTGCCAGGGTGGATGACCTGCAGTGGGACATCAGGCAAATTTGTGTTGAGAGGTGGCTCAGTAAAGCATAAATTTGTCTCTCTCCACCAGATGCAGTTGAAGATCCCCAATATATTCCATTTTATATATTAAAACATATAATAT